TATTATCATCATCATCATCACATTATCATTATTATTATTATTATTGTTGTTGCTGTTGTTTTTGTTTTGTTGTTGTTGTTGTTATTATTACTACTATTATTATTATCATCACCATTGTTATCAATGTTATCATCATCATTACCTTAGTAATAATGATTACAATAATAATGGTAACGATTATGATGATAATAATGATGATGATGATGATAATAATAATAATAATAATAATAATAATGATAATAATAATGATAATAATAATGATAATAGTAATGATAATAATGTTGATAATAGTAATAACAATTGTTAACATTATCAACATAAAAATTATTGTTATAATTATTATCATTATTATCATTCCTATTCTTGTTTTTATTCATATTACTGTTATTACTATTATCATTACTATTATTGTTGTTTTTGTTTTTGTTGCCGTCATTATCTTTATTGACATTTTTATTATTGTCATCATATTTTTGTCATCACTGTTTCTATAAGTCTTTATTAATGTTATTATTATTATTAGTAGTAGTAGTAGTAGTAGTACTATTATTAGTACTATTCCTATTATCATGATTATTATCATTGTTCATACTGTTATCATTATTATCATTATTATAATCCTTATCATTATTGTTATTATCATTGTCATTATTACTATTATTATCATTATCATCATAATTATCATTATTGTTACCATTGTGATTATTATCATCATTATTATCATTAATATTGATAATATTATTTTATCACCATAATTGTTATCATTATCATTATTCATCATCATTATTATCATCATTATTGTTACTATTTTATAATTATAATAATAATAGTATTATTGTTATTACTATTATCATTACTATCATTATTATTATTACTATCTACTCTTTTTATGATTTTTTCCATTATTTAATATGATTATTATTATTATTTTTATCACTATTATCATTATCATCATTTTCATCATTGTTATCATTATTCCCATTATTATTATGATTATTATTATCCTTATTACTATCTTCATTATAATCACTGTCATTACCATCAATGTCACTGTCGTAATCCTCTTTCTCTGCCACTTCTTTTCAAGATCTTGACGCGAGAAAGTGAGATCCTCTGTTAGTACTATCATCATTTATTATTAGCATGAAGCAGGTGCGGCGCCCTGTGCTCGAATGATACACTCTGTGGAAGATGATCAAGTATCTGATAATGATAATAATAATAAAGATGATACTCATAATGGTATGGACTGGAAAATAAACATACTGATTATAACGTTGATGGTTATGTAAATAATTTTAGTGGTAATAATGACAATCGTTCTGGCAAGATAAGCGACCAAAATGATAATGATAATGATGATAGATAGTCTCATCTTTCTCCCATTTCTATATGGGTCGCCGTTTCGGACGAGCCCCCGCTGATTTCTGTCGTGCTTCCTCCTCTGTGATTCCTTTCAATTGCAGGTCATCCCTTACACAGTCTCGCCATCTCTTTCTTGGTCTTCCCCTCCTCCGTCCACCCTGAACCTTCATCTCCATTGTATTTCCAACAATATCTTCGTTCCTTCTCAGCAGATGTCCGTACCACCTGTCTCCCTTCCTGTATTTTCTTTGATATTTCTACCACCTTTGTCGACCCTCTTATGTACTCCTTCCTAATCCTATCCTTTCTTGTTACCCCACACATCCACCTCAATATTCTCATTTCTGCTACCTCCATTCTTTTCTCCTCATTTTTCATACTTACTGTTTCTGTTTCATACAGCATGGCTGGTCTATTAACTGTCCTATGAAACTTTCCCTTCAATCTTAGCGGTACTTTCTTGTCACAGAGGTCCCCAGAGGCAGACCTCCAGTTGTTCCACCCTGCCTGTACTCGATGCTTCACTTCTTCATCCAAGTTCCCACTAGCATCCACTATGGACCCCAAGTACTTGAACTTCTGTACTCTCTTTAGCTCTTCTCCATCCATCTCTATGCTTCCCTCATCAATGCTGGTGCACAGATATTCAGTTTTGGGCTTACTTATTCTCATTCTTCTTTCCTCCAATGCTGTTCTCCACCTTTCCAACTTTCCAATCTCTAGACCCTCCCTCCTCTCTGCACACAATACAATGCCGTCAGCATACAGTATGCTCCAAGGCACTGTCTCTTACCTCTCCGGTCATCACATCCATCATGATGTTGAAGATAAGCGGGCCAAGTGCCGACCCCTGATGTAGTCCCACTCTTACCTCAGAGCTATCCGTCTCTCCAGCACAGCTTCTCACCCTGGTGGCTGCATTCCTGTACATTTCACGTATCATTCTAACACTTTTGAGGAATCATCTTCTCTCTCAGACTTTTCCAAATTTCTTGTCTTGGTACTCTATAATAGGCCTTTTCAAGGCCTATGAATACCATATATAGATATATTTGCTTTTCTCTGAATTTTTCCATCGCCTGCCTAAGACAAGGTATTCCATCAGATGTTCCGCCTCCTTTCATAAATCCAAGCTGCTCTTTCCCTATATCTACTTCCGCTCTTACTCTGACATCTATAATTCTTTCCAATATTTTCAAGGTATAGGATACAGGTTTAATGTTTATTATTACTGCAGTAATGATGATAATAATATTTATTATTACTGTTATTGTAATAATAACAATAATGATAATAGCAATACTAACAATAACAATATTAGTAAAAGCAGTACTTATTATTATCATTATTATTATTATTATTATTATTATCATTACTATTACTATTATTGTGATAATGATAATGATTGCAATAATAATGATAGTATCAATATCAATAATAATGGTAATAGTAATAATGACGATGATGATAATAGTGATAATAATAATAATAATAATATATTATTATTATTATTATTATTATTATTATTATTATGATAATAGCAGTAGTAATAATAATAATGATGATAATAATAATAATAATAATAATAACGATAAAAAAATAATGATAATGATAACGATAACAATTATGATAATAGTAATAAGGATAATAGTATAATAATGATATTAATAATAATAATATGCTAATTATATTGATAATAATAATAATATGCTAATTAGATTGATAATGATAATATGCTAATTATATAGTTGAGAATAATAATAATGAAATAAGGTAATAATAATAATGATAGTAATAATATTAATAGTGATAATATCAAAGATAATAAGAATAAGAATGATAATAGTGATATCAATATCAATAATAATTATACAAATTATTGTAATAATGATAACATTAATAACAACAATAATTTTAACAATAATGCTAATCAATGATATCATCATAATTACCATAACAATAACGATAATAGTAATGGGAATGATAAGGAAAATTTACATTTCCAGATCTATCATTGCAATCCGCGACGGGCGCTGACGTAGGGCGGGGCACGGGGCGCCGGCCTGTCCAGCGCCTTCGGATGCCCTTCTAATGCCCCGCCAGCCTTGGCGGCGGCCGCTTGTGTCTGTGTTGTTTGCCTCCTTGCTTCAAAGGCCTTCCCTTCCCTCCCCAGGAGCTCCACGACCTCTTCCAACATGCTGTCGGCAACAACGAGACGGAGTCCAGCCTCCCGAACGGCCCTCCTTCGGTCACGTCCGTCGGGGGCCTGCTCGTGACGGCCGCGCCCGACGGCTCGTTCCTTCTGGTCAACGCCACCGCCACGACCTCGCCTCTGGACGATGCCGAGGGCCCTGTTGTCCCTCCAGCGCCGAGTGCTGGCCTGTCGACCACACCGCAGGCGCCGGCGACCACGCCAATGCCTCAAGGAGCGAATGCTGCCTCGCCTTCGCCAATTACCGATGGAGACGCCCCGGGGCAAGAGCCAGCTGCCGACGACGCCCAGGCAGCTGAACAGCAGGGAGAGAGCGCCGCGCTGGCGGAAGCTTCGTCTCCCGGAGTGGATCTACAGGGCACAGAGCAGCTCCCCGGAGGCGAGGAGGACGAGCAGCTGGCCGAGGCGCTCGGTGAAGGAGCTTCGACCGAAGGATCCAAGGATGAACTGATTGACCCCGGCCTCCGGCCAGCCGAGGGCGACGCCCAAGGCAATGGGCAGGCGGCGTTCGCTGGCCAGTTCCCCTCCGATGGAATTCCCGACAGCTCAGTTCCAGCTGATGTATTCCCGCCTGTTCCAGCCAACCAGTTCCAGGGCGATGGATTCCCAGCTCGTCCAGTCAGCCCCTTCCTGGGCGGGCAATTCCCGGCTGGCGGCCAGCCGGCGCCCAATTTCTTCCCAGGTGAACCCTTTCCGGCCAGCCAGTTCCCTCCCGGCCCATTCCAGGGCGCGCTCTTCCCAGGCAACCAGATTCCGGCGGGACAATTCCGTCCCCTTCGGCCGCCCGTCGGCTCCTTCCCCAACGGGCTTCCAGGCAGCGCCTTTCCCCCGAGTCAGCTCCCCCTTGGTCTGACCCCCAACGGCCAATTTCCGTCAAATCAGTTCCCTGCTGGAGAATTTCCTAATAGCCAGTTCCCCAACAACCAATTTCCTGGCAACCAATTCCCCAACAACCAATTTCCTGGCAACCAATTCCCCAACAACCAATTTCCTGGCAACCAATTCCCCAACAACCAATTTCCTGGCAACCAATTCCCCAAACCAATTCCTGGCAACCAATTCCCCAACAAAATTCCCCAACAACCAATTCCCAACAACCAATTTCCTGGCAACCAATTCCCCAACACCCAACCAATTCCCCAACAATAAATTTCCTGGCAATCAATTCCCCAACCAATTCCCCAACAACCAGTTTCCCATAAACCAGATCCCTAACAATCAATTCCCCACAGACCAGATCCCTAACAACCAGTTTCCCACAAACCAGATTCCCAACAACCAATTCCCTAGCAGCCAGTTTCCCGCGAACCCGGGCCCCGGGGGCCAAATCCCGAATGGTTCAGGCGGCCGCTTCCCCCTGGGCACCGGCTCAGCGTCAGGAACTCGGCCCGGGAGCGGGGGCGTGTGCCGGTTCTTCTGCAGGGATGCGTCGGGCCAATTCCAGTGCTGCTCCTCGTAGGGCTGCCTTGGCCCGCAGGAGAGGAGCGGAGAGGCGGCAGGGAAAGGCGGGCGTGCAAGAGGGAGAGAGAACTGAGCAATCTAAGGGCGATGGAAAGGAAATAATTGTCTGATTAATACATTTCGTTTAGACGAAAGATGTCTAAGATAGTATCAATAACGATGGTGGTAATGATACTGCTAATAATAACAATGATTATAAATAGCATCAATGGTAATTATGAAGATAGACAGTTGTGGGAAGAATGAGGAAGCCAGAATTGGGAATAAAAATTAAAACCACTAGACTTTTTATCTTTTCTTCCCCCGATGACTGGCACTTTGCCTTCAGTCGTCAGAGACGTTTAAGAAAGAGAATATTACTTTTACTACCCATGCTTTGTATGAGGCTTGACGGTTTTATTCGATTTACAGTATGATAAACTATTAAATAACACGGGAAGAATTAGTAATACGCTTTGTACAAGTAATGGTAATGATAACAATGATAATATGAAAATAATGAGAATGATAACAATTATGATAATGATAATAATGATAATGATAATGATACTAATGGTATGATGATAATAGATGATATTAATAGTTGTAATGATCATTATAGTACTAATGATAGCAATGATAATGATTAGAATAGCAATAACATCAATAATGATAATACAATAAGAATGATACTACTACTACTGTTAATGATACTGATAACGATATAGGTAATGATGATGATGGTGATAATGATAATGGTAATAATAACAATAATGTTAGTGATGATAATAGAAACAATGATAGAAATAATACTAATTCGAAGCACTCAGAGAACGCATACCTCCGCCAAGGAAATAGGCTCGCGGTTGGAATCCTTTAAAAGTCCTTGGATCCGGATCCGGATGCGGATCGGAACTAAAACAGTCTTCGCTGAAGACACTGTCAGCGTTTGCGACGTGGGTGATGAATTAATGTATTGTTCCTGCAGCTCTTGAAGGCTTATCTGTAGAGATAACTGTAAATTGATTAATCTTTCTATACTCAGTATATCTAAATGCATTAGAGTATTATGAATGTAGAGATAACAGTTAATTGATAATCGTTCTATATTTCTCTACATATCTATATATCTAAATGCACAACAATATTACTGATTTGAGCTCGCGTTCTTCAGTCTGACGTCACCGAAAACATCCCCGACTCATGTCTTCAACTCGCTTCGCGCGCCTTCAACCGCCAGGGCGCGTGGCGTCACAGCGCTTCGCTGAACGGCTCGGGGGCGAGTCCGGGCCGATGCCAGTGACGTCAGCGGCTCCTTCCGGAATGGTCGGACAGAAAGCGGGTCTCGGGCGGGAACCTCACTGCAGCATTGTCTTGCTGCTGGGCATGAATGGACAGCGTAAGTCAAGCGAGGTTAGTTCACGAGGTAGCCACCCCGCTCTTATCACCTCTTATCTGAGCATCTTCTGAGAATCACAAACTTCGATCAAGAGCGCCTGAGACATCCTTGCATGTGCTCGCCTCACGGCCGGAAGAGGCCGCCCCACCGCTCCTGCAGGAACGAGTTCGCTACATGAGCTTATGAATTATTTCTCCGTACCTTTATCTATAGAAAAAATCGAAAACCAAGAATTGATCTGTGATAAATAAATATCGGTAACCACAGATGTTCTCCTTTTCTCTCTCTCTCTCTCTCTCTCTCTCTCTCTCTCTCTCACACACACACACAAACACACACGAGCACAAACATACAAATATGCATACATACGTGTAAAATAATGAACATTCCATAATTCTCTATTGCTAAGGAATCAGATCGCAGCGGTTCTTATCTCACTCACTGATAAATTGATGTTTTAATTCCTCAAAGGAATTAAGCTGCTTTATACTTTGTGTTTGAATGTATTGTACATGTCCACGTCTATTTACGTAAAGGAAATGAATTCGACATTCCCCGTTGGCATCAAGATTATGCAAAAGGAAACGTTAGACGCGGCTGAATGGTCCCATTAGAATTGCATTTCCATTCTAGGTATAACGCACGATGTCTCAATGGACAATCTATTAAGGGCGCACATTCATATTAGGACGTCTGGGCCTCTGATTATCAGCTTGAGTTACAATCTATTATTAGAAAATCTATTCATATAATTCTTCCCAACGTTTCCATGGGACTGAAAAGAACTCTCATGATGAATTCCCTCATTTATTCAACATTTCCATCCACACTCTGGGATTCTGCCTCGTACCCCTTCTGCTTTTTTTGCGTCGAACCGCTCGCCAGACGCTGTTCAATCAGTTGGCCAGTTTTGGACAAGTTGCTTGTGTGTGTCTCGGCTTGTAGGCCGTTTCGCCCTCTTTGTATGTGGACAGCTTCCAGGATAAGCTGAGACCACTGAATCATAAATGTCACACACTCTTGACACACTTACCTTGTGTCAGTCCAGCACTTAACGCAGATTTTTCATAGTGTTAGAATGCATTGATATGTGTACTTCCTGTGCTGATCTGAAAAGAAAGTAGTGAACTGTTGGATTGCAGGCTACCTAAACCAATAAGAAAAGAATACTTACAACGTATGTCACTGTTGTAAAGGGCGACTATGAGGACCCCTAGCCCGCACTGGGCCAGCATGGTGGCATATGGTTTGCATCCAAGGGAGGAAAAGGACCTTTTCCTCCCTTGGATGCAAATCACACCTCAACAAGAGGCGCAGGGTCTCATGAAGTCCCATAGCGAGTCATGTGCAGGGTGGTCTGAAGCGATGGCATGGTAGTCTAGTTAGTGTTAAGAGCTTTGCATGCCTTCTCGCTTGCAGCTGCCACTGCTGGCTAGCCTAGTGCAAAAAAGGGAGTAGCACTGCATAAGCCTCCCCTGCCAGTGCATAGCCTCTCCATCATCGAGACTCCTGCTGTGCCTCCTCGTGGCCTTCCATGCAAACTGGGTACCTTGCGGTTCCAGGCTAAAATGTGGGGGATCTCGGAGCAGCAAGAGGCCTTAGAGGTACAGGATCATGGCCCACCAGCGTGTGGACACGCCCTGGCCCTGTACCAACTCCTGCCCTCTGGGGTTAATGGGAGGCTCGGGGGAGGTGGGCCTTGCCAGTCCTCCATCCCCCAGATAAAAACCATCGGCAGTGTTTAGTATATCTGGAAATGCTGGGAGGAGGGGAACTGCTCCTCCCACCCAGCAAGAGAGGCGGGCTGTGGATCCCGTTGGGAGGCTTGGAACATCCGTTCTTTGCGTCAGGATGATCGGTTGCCTCTGCTGTCGAGGGAACTGGGGAGGCTGAGAGTGGAGGTGGCTGCTCTTTCAGAGGTGAAAAGACCTGGCAGCGGCCCGATCAGTGTAGGTGGCTACACCTACTACTGGTCAGGCCGCAGCGACGGTCACCATCAGGGAGTAACCATGGCCATCTCCAGCAGACTCCAGTCAATGAGTGTCCAATGGTAATGAGACTGAAGCTAGCATTTGGCTTCATGTCTCTTATTGCTGTGTACACTCCTACCGATGTTTGTAGACGACGTGAAAGAGATGTTCTACGCCCAGCTAGTGTCTGTGCCAGACAGGTGTCCCCAGCGAGATATTTGGGTTGTCCTGGGTGACCAATGCGGTATCTGGCAGTGACTGAGCTGGCTATGAGATGTCTGTCAGTCCCCATGGTTCGGGAGCTGGTACCAGCAGCGAGAATAGCCTCCTTTTTCGGGACTTTGCTAGGTCCCAGAAATTGAGAATTTCTGGCTCCTGGTGCCAGTGCCCAGACCCACAATACTAGACATGGTACAGTGCTATGGGTAATGCGGCTCGTCTGACGGGGGATCGGGATTTGTACTCTTCCCAAGTGTGCAGGAACAGTTTATTAGGAGCTTTGCAGAGGAGGTAGGTCATTTATTAGTAAATGACCTTCGTCCTACATACCAAGCCCTGAGAAACTGAACTCCAAGCCCTTTTCACAGGTGACAGCAGTTCGCTCAGTAGGTGGCCAGATCATATCAGATCCTGTTGCAGTGCAAGAGTGTTGGGCTGAGTATTTTGAGCAGTTGTACCAGACTGACCTACCAAAAGTTAACTTGGATGGCGCAGGGGTTGCATATTATCCTGGCTGCCATCTGGCAGTCTGGTACCGTTCCCCCTGACCTGTTGAGGAGTGTGATCATCCCTCTCTGTAAGGGGAAGGGGGACCGATGGGACTGCAGCAATCACCGAGGCATCACACTGCTCAGTATACCAGGGAAGGTTCTTGCCCACATCCTTCTGAGGCATATCAGAGACCACCTACTGAGGCATCAGAGGCCGAAACAATCTGGATTCACTCCTGGTAAGTCCACAATAGACCGTATCCTAGTGCTTCGAGTCATTATAGAGCGCCGTCGTGAGTTCGGGCGTACGCTTCTTGCAGCCTATATCAACCTCAGGAAGGCGTTTGATACGGTACTGAAAGTGCTGTAAAGTGTGGTAGGGGCCTGTCGAGCTTCTTTCCTGTCAGTTCAGGAGTGAGGCAAGACTGTGTCCTTGCACCAACACTCTTCAATACTTGCATGGACTGGATACTGGGCAGAGCTACTGTTCAAAGTCATTGTGGAGCAACTCTGGTCAATATCAAGGTTACCGACCTTGACTTTGCTGATGTTGCTATTCTGAGTCTTTGGAATCCTTAGTGGTGGGTCTCAATGCATTTTATAATGAAGCGAAGCCCTTGGGTCTAGTGGTCTCCTGGACCAAGACAAAGATCCAGGACTTTGGGGACTTGCTAGGAGAACCTATTTAGTCGGTGCTTGCTTGCGGCGAGGACACTGGTCACAGAGAGTTTTACATACCTTGGTAGTGTAGTTCATAACTCTGGGCTGTCAGACCAGGAAGTCAGCAGACGGATTGACCTGGCAGCAGGGGTCATGAACTCTCTCGACAAGAAGTATTTGGAGATGTCGGTACCTGTGCAGAAGGACCAAGCTAAGAGTTTTCAAGGCCCTGATAATGCCAATTTTGCTATACGGTAATGAAACCTGGACATTATCTTGTGCCTTGGAGACTCGCCTTGAACCTTTTGTAATAGGTCCTTGCGCCGGATCATGGGGTAATGTTGGCGGGACTATATGTCAAACCAGCAGTTGCACAGTGAGACTGGCACAGGTCCTATTTACCCGCACAATCCGTGATCGCCAACTCAGGCTTTACGGCCACCTGGCTCGCTTCCCTCAGGATGATCCTGCCTACCAGGTTGTCTCTGTTCGAGACAACCCTAGGTGGAGGAGGCCTGTGGGACGACCTAGGAAGTCGTAGCTTGGGCAGATCGACAAACACACACACACACACACACACACACACACACACACATAATATATATATATATATATATATATATATATATATATATATATGAATGGAAAAACACTCTACCGTGTTGATACTATGGCAGAAAAAAACACAATGCACAAAGTAGATTTATTGAAGAAAGTGAGACAACAGTTTCGGAATCGTCTTCGATTCCATCTTCGAATCGAAGACCCGAAGATGGAATCGAGGACGATTCCGAAACTGTTATCTCAATTTCTTCAATAAATCTACTTTGTGCATTGTGGATTTTTCTACCATATAATATATATATATATATATATATATATATATATATATATATATATATACACACACACATAATTATACTAAATACAATATATGGATGTGTGTGTGTATATATGTATGCATATGTATATATATCTGGGGGGGGGGGTATGTGTGTGTGTATCAGTACTGTGTCATACATATGTACACATCTATGTACATTTATATATATATACAGTATTGACATATATAGGTATACATATATATACAGACATTATACATATATTGTATTTGATATAATGGTGTATATATATATATATATATATATAATATATATATATATTATATATATATATATATATATGGGATGTCTGTGGGTGTGTCTATATGTGTTTGCATAAACATTTGTATACAAATATATATATATATATATTATATATATATATATATATATATATATATATATATTATATATATATATATATATATATATATATATATATATATATATATATATATATATATGAAATTCATCATTATGATCATCGGTGTTTAACGTCCATGCATTTGATTTCATTCTGATTTGTTCTAAGGCATAAGATCATTTACATCTAAAGAATTCTTCAGTTTGATAACTTTGTCCATTTCTTTACCAAGACTGGTACTATTTGTGAACAGGGATTTGTATTTAGTTCAGATATAACTATAAGCGTTTTAAGAAAGAAATTTTCTATACATTTGGCGTAAGCTCTAAAATTATTCAAATTGTATATTCCTTTTGCCGTCATCTACATTAATAAACCCTTATACTTGTAAATGCATTACAACGCTCTCTGTACCAAGTGTGATGTTAGGATATTGGGATTAATGTAACGAATGGCAGTAACATACCAGGTGACAGATAAAAACTATGTGTGTAGTGCTTCCTTGCCATAACATGCCTCCATTTCCGAAACTTTTCACTGGATTAAGTACAGTTGCAAGCATGTTGGGAGCAAACGATCGGAGGTGATAATAATCCCGCCAGATGGAGAGACGGAACACGGGGCACGCCCCCGACTGATAACACTATTATTATTTTCTCAGAACGTTTACAGGATACCCGTGACGTAGATGTCCATAGCCACACGTCATATGAAATCGACATGAATGATATATAAGGTCGGCGCTGACGCTTCTGCTCATAAGTCCACTGGTGTGCGCACCACAAGCTCCACACAACACTTGCTCCTGATTCCTAGCAAACACTCAGCAACTATGGCGAGCCACAACCAACTGAAGACGAGTGCCATGTTCCTGAGTGGCGCAGTCCTGCTGTTCCTGGCCTCGCTGTCTTGTTCGCTGCCTGTGGACTCCACGTCCTCGGATCAAGCAGTCATCGTCAACGGCACACAAGTGGCCATTGCACCCATGGCCGACGTGTTCGTGTACTGCAGGGCACACGTGTCCACCACGGACGACCTGCACCACTACAGGCTGGAGTGGCACGACTCCCAAGCACCAATTCCCTCGTGGAATAGCAATGTGGGCGTTTTTTCTCTGGGCAGCGGCACCCACGTGCCTCACGCCTACCTCGTCTTCCACAACTTCAACGGCGCCAACAACGCTGGGACTTACACCTGCAAACTGTTCAAGGGAAACCACCTCGTCGGCTCATCCGCCGTCACCGTCTCGCAGTCCTCGGCCCGATAGTCAGAACACATCGCTTTACTGAATCTCAAGAGCATATTTATTAGCAGCTATTTATATAATATTTATCTTACAACTTATCTTTATTTATTTATTTATTAAGAGTCTATGCGTCAAACAAAACCATTAAATGTAATCATTTAGTGAGCCTATAACTTTCCTTCCCAACCTCTAATTTCTGTATATAGACACATCAAAAACACAGACATAAAAGGAAGAGACAAACCAGGATTAATTGTAACATCATTTCATGCAGACATTTCAGGTAGAAAATGCATCACACCTTGTAACTGCTTAGCTAACAAATGAATTCATACAATACAGAAATAGGAAGGTTTACTTTACCATCAGACTTTTAAACAAACTCGACCAACTTATGAACGAATCATAAGATACAATGGATATGAAATAAACAGAGAATGGCGCGCACCCACCTATCACAAGGCCTTTTCCGTTAACGCGTTAATTATCGTTCAACACAAGGAGGGCGAAGATAAGCTATTTGACCCTATCTTTTGAACGCCACAAGTCACGTATCCCGGAGATGTGTGCGACATCAGATAACAAGAGAATCAGACCGGTGATTTATATGGCTTAATCATATAATGTGCATCTATTCCGTCTCTTCCTCAACCGTACTCGAAATAATACGCCCATAAATTATGTGAAAGTCTATGGATATCAGTGTTTTAGAGAAATGTTTTCACTCTTGCTCTGCCGTTGGCGCATCCCTGCCTCATCTGCGACTCACTTCATCTTATTAATCCCTTAGTCTTGCGAAGCTCCTTTCCGAAAATGAACGTAGACCAGTGGCTCTGTCGTCCTCAGATACCTTCGCGCACTTTTCAAATCTCATGTGAACTAGAACAAGCTTTTGTATTCCGAAATGTGACATGACGTTTTATATTCTTGCAAATAACGTGGTAACAATTATGATCATGAGGATAAGAACAGTAACACGTCACTCGTTAGTCCCTGTTATCGGAAGCGCATTGCAGCACCACGTTTCAAACATGGTAAGGCGTGCTTCAAGGAGGTGCATAATATTGTTATTCAGGTGTTATAACGTTACGTTTTGGCTCGAATTCTCTCGAACCAATACATGAACGGGCACATGCATATCATACGTACATTCATGAACACATTCTAGAGTAGCGGTTATCAGTGAATGGACTTGGGAGATAAATATCAAACTCGGATTTCTTAACTAAGGTATATTTATAGAAACTAAATCCATAATATCAATGACTTGTCGTTTCCTTCGGTGACAAGACCGAGCGTACAAATAATGTCAAATACTAAAGCATACATTTTAAATGAATATTTCACGTCATACAAGTACACTCACATTCTCAAAAGTGCACACAGACATGCACACATACACAAGTTCACACAAGAAGCGCGAATTTTCAGCCAAGGAACTTCGCGAGAGGAGCCTTGGAAAGAGAGTCATTACTGTTAGAAAAGCTTTGTCATTTCTGAAATGGATAAGCAGAGTCACTGACATTGATATATAAATTAAGACGGAAACAACAATGAGAGGAAAATGTTAAAATATTAAAATTTAGCTCTCCTGTTCAGACTCCGCTTCACTCGGGCATCCTCATATCGAACGCAAACCCATTCCCAACCCGAGCGGAGAGAATCGAGCGGAAGTGAAGCTGCGTCGAGCGTGAGGCAAGTCCGTGAGGCAAGGAGGGAACACAATCCATAGATAATGAAAGATAAGGAATTATATATCTGGGACCCGTTTCATGAGAACCTTGTATATCAAGGCTTGCGTACTGGATGCAAAGTAACCACTGTATCCCATATCTACCAAAACACTGATGTATGTAAGGCTACCGTATATGGATACATTAAAACTGCATTCAGTTATTAAAAAAAAAAAAAAAAAAAAAAAAAAAAAAACAGTAAGCGATAACTAGCCCGATCTTCTCTCGGATATCTCGGGAGTAGTATTACCTGTAGGGAAGATATGGTTTGCGATAAAGATATTCGGACACGCCCACTGCAGATAACGCAAACGTATTCTTAAAAACCGTTCTTCCCAGAACGTTTACAGGATACCCGTGACGTTTGTGGCCAGGCCAAAACGTCGTGCGAAGTCAACATGATCGCTATAAAACGGGAGGCAATTGGTCTTCAGTCCATTGCACTAGTACATCAGCTGGCGCTCTGCAGAAAGCAACTCGCTCGCAATCCATTCCGAAAGCACGACAGCCATGGCGAGCCACAGCCAACTGAAGACGAGTGCCATGTTCCTGAGTGGCGCAGTCCTGCTGTTCCTGGCCTCGCTGTCTTGTTCGCTGCCTGTGGACTCCACGTCCTCGGATCAAGCAGTCATCGTCAACGGCACACAAGTGGCCATTGCACCCATGGCCGACGTGTTCGTGTACTGCAGGGCACACGTGTCCACCACGGACGACCTGCACCACTACAGGCTGGAGTGGCACGACTCCCAAGCACCAATTCCCTCGTGGAATAGCAATGTGGGCGTTTTTTCTCTGGGCAGCGGCACCCACGTGCCTCACGCCTACCTCGTCTTCCACAACTTCAACGGCGCCAACAACGCTGGGACTTACACCTGCAAACTGTTCAAGGGAAACCACCTCGTCGGCTCATCCGCCGTCACCGTCTCGCAGTCCTCGGCCCGATAGTCAGAACACATCGCTTTACTGAATCTCAAGAGCATATTTATTAGCAGCTATTTATTTATTTATCCTTCTGTGTTAAATAAAGCACCATTAAACAGATGTATTTTTTTAATGAGCCAGCCCTTAAGAGCCATTGCCCTACCTTTTTTCATCTGTTCTCTTAGCTGTGATTAGTTAATTTCTGAGTTAATTTGTTCATTTGTTTCAATAAACCTTATGCTGCTGCAAAAAAAGCTGCAACTGCAACTATTACTGTTTGTAGTCATAACATAATTATATACATATACATATATACATACACGGTGTGTGTGTGTTAGTAGTATTTGTGCATGTATTTATGTATGCATTATGACGAAATTGAGATTATCAAGCGTTATCATTGCCTTTATAGAAAGGTGTGAGGTGTTCGTATGGATGAGTCTTATCAAGCACACCCCAGCAAAACTGGCCGGGCAATACGAAGAAAATGCGCTCGCTTTGAGGAGCCACACGAGCCTCATTTCCTTCAGAACACTATCGCTTTGCTCAACAAACTTATATCGTTTATGTAGACCACCGTTTAATGGCATCATCCATGGGAAAGAAAATCTCAGTAACTCAAAATAATAAGCCTAGTTGACAGCGCGTTTGTGTTGTCGACAGCAAATTCATTTGAGAACTTAGGTGACCCTTAGGTGGGAAGATGGATATCTTTGAGGCCATTTGTGGATTAAAAAAAAAAGATGACATTGCTTCATCTTTTTATAGCAAAAAATATTCTGGCGATCGCGGTGCTTACTCGATTGATGATAATGGCTTACGTTTAAGCAGCGCGCGTATCCTACACATCTAATGTTGTTGGGATGTTGAAGGACATGCCTCCTTGTGGTTACTGTTTTTGTCATCTTCTTATGTTTCACTATCCATGTTTAGGATGATTTTATTTTATCATTAAAAATTTAAGGTTTTCCTCTCATTAGATTTTTCAAATATATTTTTGATTTTTAGCAGCAACAGGTTATTCATTCCAAAAATGCCAATGACGTTTCCAACAATAATCTATCTTCTCTATTCTCCTTCGCTCCCAGGATTAGGATTTAGCAAAATTCCTTCTACTTATCACTGCGGAGCTCTTTGTCTGAAACTTGTGCGTTTTCTTGTGTGAACTTGTATGTACGCATGTTTGCTGTTTGAGATGTGAGCGTACCGTTATGATGATATAATTGCTCATGCTCTCAGATATTTGACTTTTATGTACGGCCGGTCATTGTTACGAAGGAAACTACAAGTCATTGATATTATGGATTTAGTCTATAAATATACCTTAGATAAGAAATCCGAGGTTTTGATACTTCTTATCACCCAACAGTCATTCACTGATAACCGCTACTCTAGAATGTGTTCATTGAATGTACGTATGGCAATCAGTCATGTCTGCGACCCCGTCATGTATTGGTTTTGCGCGCTAAGGTGGGATGTTGTGCGTGCAACTTAGTGCCTGGTGTGTTTTAACGTATGTCGGGTCAGTTTGTTGTTTCATTTACCGATTTTCAGAGCTAAAGTGCCGCCAAGATGTGGAGGAGCGACGTCATCGCATTATAGTATATGATGAGTGGATATAAGTCTATAGTGAGAGGCGTATGATGCTTGATTATCTGATGAATATGAGGTAAGAAGATGATGAGTATCGACATAAGAGCGATTAGTACGTGATAAGTATTAGGAGCTATTGTAAATTTAGTGTGGTATTATATTGCTGTGTCAGGTGCGAGTGTACTCATTAAGTCACGGCCAGATTCGACAGAGGATATTTACTGATCGCTGTTTCGTGGGGCAGGGCGACGAGATGGTAGGAGATGGACCCATGTAAGGAAGTGTAGATACAGATACAAACCCACCACATATCATATTGGTGGCCTGCCTGAGACGTTCTTGCAGTGTGAGTCAGTGCAGGTAGTACCTCTGGAGGAGATATAATCGTTTTCCGCTCGAAGGATAACGATATTGTTTGGTGTATTTCACGCATCAAGAACCGTAGTTTCGGTATTCGCCAAATAACACTCGGAGAAGAAAGTGGTCAGCGAGCATGAAATACGTTTAACTTAGTTAAACACCTGAATTAATCACATCTATATCTCACTGCCAGCATGTGGGAAATGGTGGCGCGTTACGGCTGGTGTGCTCAAACGCGCGGTTGCTGGGCAATTCCTTACCCACCATTAGACACGCAACGTATACGATTGACGTGTTGGAGTGGAGTGTATATCCTTACATGCGATTCCTATGAGGTACCGTTGTTGCATGGAACGCACGTTCAGTTTGCAAGTATATAGCAAAACGGACATTGTTTCACATTTTCGGGGAATACCAAAAAGCTTGTTCTAAGCCGTTGCAACATGCTACAGAGCGAAGTTTGAGGGAGGAAAGAGGCATTATGCGAATATCGGAGGGTGGAAGGTAGCACTACGAGATGACTGACTGTTCATTTTCGGAAGGAGCTTCGCAGAAGACACACCCAGCAATTGGAATAGATGAGCTGAAGGTCCGTAAGATGATGGCAGGGATGCGCCAACCTGCAGAGCAGAGCTGAAAACATTTCTTCTAAAACACTGGATATTCTATTGACTGAGTGCTGATGTTGTAATAATTTAAGGGGAAGAGCGGAGTGACGGTTTGAAGGAAGTGACGTGAATAATTTGGATGCCACACTATGATAACTTGTGGATTGGGATTGAGAGTTTGGCATAATAAATCATCTGTGTCTGATTCCTGTTATCCTGATGTCGCACCAACCAGTCGCTACTGATACGTCACTTGGTGGCGTTGCTGAGAAGAAGTGAGTAAGGGTCAACATAGCTTTATCTCGCTTCCTTCTTGGGTGTCGTTGGAACGAGTGTAGTAGTGTGCTGCGAAGTCAACGTTAACCAGGGAGAGCCTGTGCTGTGTGGCTAGGGTAGGGTGCGCGCCTTCCACAGGATTAGATTTTAGTTTTCATGAGTCCATGTAGTAAGTCTTATGGATTCGTATCATTTAGAGTTATAGTGGGATGCAGAGTGTTTGTTATTACAAAGGTCTGGATGGGTTGAAAGTATACGCTTCCTTGTTTACTGTATTGTATGAATTCATTTGTTAGCTACATGCAGTGTACAAGTGTGATTGCGATTTTCTACCTGATAAGATGTCTGCATGTGGAATATGATGTTAGCAGGATTAAACTCCTGGTTTGTGCTCTCCTTATTATGTCTGTGTTTTTTGAATCGTGTCGATTATACACCGACGTGAATTAGAGGGTCTGGGGGATAGGAGAAGCACGTGCGGTGAGGTATGAGTCCCTCAACTAAATGATGTACATTTGTAATGGGTAGTTTTGTATGTTGCGGCTGAGGAGCGTCTTTATATAAATAAATAGGAAGGTAAAGGCGATAAGGTTGTAAAATTATTAGGATAAATAGGCTGCTAATTAAAATACTGCTTGGAGATGTCAGTAAAGGCGATGTGTCTCTGAAATCTACGAGATCTCATTGTAGGTGCGCGAGTACTGGCGGGAGGACAGCGAGTGGGACGGCGGGAGTGAGCGCGACGATAGGGGTGGTTTCCCTTGGAACAGGTTGGCAGGTTAAGTCCCGCGCGTTTGCGTTGGCGCCGTGAGAGTTGTGAGAGACAAGCGGAGTAGGCGTGGAGGCGACGGTGGGTGAACGACGATCGCCACAGAGAAAAAACGCGCCGCAGTATCGGAGGTATGAATTTCCCATGAGGGAATTGTGCTGGAGTCGGCCACTCTCGCCTGTAGTGGATATCGGCGAGATCGCCGTGGATGGGCACGGTGTTGGCCCTTGTGACACACTTACAGCGAACTGACGTCGCCATGGTCGGCGCATACGGCAATGGCCACTTCTTTGTTGCTGTTGAGGATGACTGCTGCTGATCCCGAGAACGGTGGAGTCCAACGGCAGCGAGACCAAGACATGCGAGCGACACAAGGAATCAGCAGGACTAGCGCGCCGACTCAGGGAACATGGATCTGCTCTTCAGTTGGCTTGTGGGATCAATAGTTAGCTGAGGTGTGTTGCTAGGGAACAGGAGCGAGAGTGTTGTGTGGAGCTTGTCGTGACGCCAGCGACGGCAGTGCGTAAGGACTGTATTGATGAAGACTAGAAGCGAGTGCGGGTCGGATCCATCGCTACAATATAGTCATTCATTGTCGACTTAGTCATATAGTGACTTGTGGGATTATGAGCTATGGACGATCTATACGGGTCATCGTGGTAGCCTGTACAATACGGTTCTGACCGAAGATTACGTAGTAATGAGTGTTGAAGATGGACATTCATGTGCGGGTCTCGTCGTGGGGCCGTGCCCGTGTTCCGATACTCTCGCAGTCTCTGGCTGGAGTTCTCTCTTATCAGAGACCTCAGCACTTTAATACTCCATGAGACTCTCGCACTATCTCTGTGCGGCCCAGTGATAAAAGTGTAGGTTTAGAGCTTGCACACTCTTGTCGACACGCTCCTCCATTTCGGTTCGGACGGGGGAGAGCTATCGGGAACGAGTGAGACATTTCGGCCGCAGGAGGAAGCGATGAGATGGTGCGGCGTCACAGACCGGAGGCAGAGGTAATCCGTCGGGGCTGGACGAAGGATGAGCGCAGGGTTTGCGGTTCATTAGTAGTAGAAACCGATATGTATTAGCTAGTATATTTGATTATATGACTATGGAGTAATATAATATGCTCAGAAGTTCCTATTAGATACAGACTAGGAGTAAGCAGTTTGTAGGCTGAGATGATAGATATTGCCATGATGAGGACTGCTGGTGAACTCGTTAAACGAAGATGCGCGTGAGGACTAGTATGGTAAGTGGTGTCACAACAATGATTTTTGTCAAAGTTCGCGTGCCAGTATATGGTTGATAATAGTAAACACTCAAATTAGACAAAATTGGGGTATTCAAACTCTGACACTGTGTTTGTGTTTGTGTGTACGTGTGTGTGTGTGTGTGTGTGTCTGTACAGGTCAGTGTTATTTTCCATGTTCCGTTACCGTTATCTCATCTCTGTCATGCTCGCACGTTAAATTTAAGAGGTCTGTAGAATAAATGCG